CACTAGGGGATTATTATAGTGTAAAAATCAGGGTCCACCCATTCATTTGATATCCCTAAACCACAGGAGTGTTAATGATGGGCTCAGGTATTCATGATTGCCCTGGATGAAGTTAAGCTACCTTCAGTGATAGCTTGATGTTAGGTTTTGGTTGAATAAATCCACACATATTTTTCTAAAGTCCTTGATAAAAGCCATACCTGTATGTTGTAAAGCATTAAAACACTTTCAGTGTAGCATTTTCAATACAACCGTTGCACTGCAACATTTATTCTGTATGAGATAATCAGTTTCATGGATTCTGAGAATGTTTTTGGCATATATTCTTAGATGTTAGCATCTAATATAAAGGTGGCAATATTTGTAAAAGAGATAATTGCCAAAGCATTGCTTTGTGTTTTATACAGTGTATGCCAAATAACATTTTGAGTCAGCTCTGAGGCAGCAAATCTTGTACCACTGGGGAGAGAATGAAATGTGTGGAAACATTTGACATACCCAACAGTGGTGTAATTTGCCTTTTGACATATTGCAAATCCGATTGGAGCAGCAACATATCTCTCCCGATGTTCTCTGCAAGCCCACAGGCACCTGCAACATCGTGGAAGTCACTGTTTTACCAGTGAGCAGTCAGAGCCCTGGCGGACTGATCCCTACCCTGTCCTCGCTGTGCTCAGCCAGTTGTGCAGTGCTGCCTGGGTGAGTCTAGCCCAGCTGGTGCAGCATGATCCAGGCTTGAACTCTCCCATAGTGCTCAAACTGCACTCCATGCAAGTGCCTTTATTGGTTTAGGCACTTGAGTGCTCCAGTGCTTTGTACACAATCAGGGCATGGGAAGCTGCTTTCGATTTACTTTAGCTACAGAACATTGTAAGTCGTTTTGACACTTTGTGTACACTTAATTGATCATTCATAACAGTGACACAAATACACAAAGCTTTGATGTACTGCATTCACCTAAATATGGGACTATTCTAATTTCTTTGTTTTCGTTAATTGACAGACCTGAGGTTAGGCAATTTCAGAAATCTAAGGTGTATCAAACTCCACATCATCAATAGCATGCTTTATAAAGGCTGTTTCTTGTTTACCAGTTTATGTTTCATTTTGATGTGGATGTATGCAACCAAAGTAGGACAAGCTACATCAGCAGGATCATATATAATAGGGAAGCAAATATTCCAATGCAAATGAGAAACTTATGTCAGTGGGACTTTTCTTGGGCAATAAATTGCTTGTCATATTTCTTTTTTTTAAACTAGCAACTGCATAAACAAGAGCAATTGTTGCTGTGGTGTGTGTCTAGAGCTGAGTTATCAAGTTGCCTAGCCAGGTGTTCTGTCTGTAGCTTCAAACAAGTGTAGGCTGTCAAGGCTATGGAGAACTCGCTGCTTTTAATTCTTAAACTGCAGATGCTTTTTCAGTTCTTAATGATTTGACATTTTCCTCTCCCTGTCCTTGTCTCATAATTCTTCTTTATTATTATTATAATGAGTCTTGCCAAGACGGAGGCATGCTGTTCCGTAGCAAAGGGACTTGCTTTGGCTGTCAGAGAGCTGCAAACTCCCACAGCTCTGCCTACCGGGGGCTGAGACCTCTTTATCCACAGAGAATGCAGGAGTTTGACATACTATAACTCACCTTTCCCTGCTCTGAACACTCCCTTTCCTAAAATACTGGAGACGATCCACTGGCTGTGTCTCGTGGTGTGTTAATGTGTGTAAATTCTTGTATGTTGATCAAGGTTGTGAACACAACAAAATTCGATTCATCCCCTTGTGGATTTCTACTTGATGCTTGTACTACAACTTGTTGCTGGCATGAAAAATATTATACTGATGTGCAGTGACATTATTATTCCCTTGAGTTGACTCTGTGCTCAAAAACAAGCTTATTCAGTAATCTTAAATTATTATGACCATTCTTCATTACCTACGTATCTGCATCTGCTTAATTATTTATGGGGCTCCTTAGAACTCAAGCCAATTGGTAAAGATTAAAGCCTTGTTTTCTGTCCATTCAAACTGGACAATGCTGTATCTCTTCTCTGGATTTAGATTGTCAGTCTTTGTTTTTTGAGCAATAATGGTGCAACGTGGTGGGTTCTGGGTTCGATTCTACCTATGGGTGTTTCTGCATGTTTTGTTCCCCACATCCCAAAGATGTGCTCGTTAGGCCCTTTGGGCTCCATAGCCCTGTGAAGGAATGTCGTTGTGTGGCTTCAGTCCTGCCCTGTGTTTCTGGGCTTGGCTCCAACTTTGCCGCCACATCAGGTTTAATGTCTTCCTGATAATAGACAGCCAGAAGAATCCTACTACTCATAAAGACTACGAGGAGACCTGATACAGATATTCAAATTCCTCATAGACACTCAGCACCATTTGAGCTTCTTTATAATAAACAGTGATATGAACGGGAGGTTACGTGTGGAAACTATGTGGAAGTGCATTTAAAACTGAGAACAGGAGGCATGTCTTCCCCCAGAGGGCTGTGGGAGTGTGGAATAAACTCCCCTGCTATTTGGTTGAATCAGATGCCTTGAATTCTTTCAAGAAATGCCTGGATGAGATCCTTTGATCAGTTAATTACTAACAACCTAATAGGCTAGATGAACCAATGGCTTCCTCTTGTTTATATCATTTCTTATGAACTTATTTGTATTGCCTAATAAAAGCACATATGCCCAATGTCTGTGCAGAAATTTTAAAAATATAGATATCAATTTGAATAAAAGGAGATGTTCATTACTGTTTCTCTCGATATGCAGTACAAGTACTTGCTAATGTGTTGTGTGTGCTGTTTGAGTCCAGTTCCAATATTACACCATGCCCCTGTAAGCCTACAGTGAAACATGACACAGCACGATGACCTTCAGAATAAACACTGAATGCCAAACCAGAGAGCACAAGTGGAATGTGTGCGTGGTAGGCATGCGGCTCTGCGTGTCGTTCAGAAACAGTGCAGCTTTTTTTGGCAGAGAACACCAATTTTATTTCTTTTTGTTAAATGCTAAACTAGTACCCAGCAGTGTCGGAAAATGTAGTACATTTTTGAGAATCATTGACTGACAACAGAAATATACAGTGATATAAATATAAAACAATATTACCGTGCGTACAGTATAATCATTTCTTTGTTCCAAACGAGGACTTATCAGATACTTTTTAAAACAATTTCATACGAAGTAATTTATCTACATTTGATATTTTTGGACATACATATCTGATACAGTTCCACTACTTTAGCAGTAGGAATATTTAGACTAGTTGCATACTGTTTGTGTGAGGCACAGAACTCAATAGTAAATGTTTTGAAGGCTGTGAGGTGATCTGGGAGAAAAAAATAATACTTTTTTTAGACCGAAGGAATTGCCCCTGAATGAATTTCACTTAAATTGATTTTGCAAGTGTTTAGCCTTTTTAGCATGAAGCACTTCTCTAAGGGGAGCAAGCCTCACCGTTTTCCAATTTTGAAAAAAATATCAGGAAATATTTGATAGAGTAGAGAAACAAGCAGTGCTGCTGTCTAGAGAGGCCACTGTTACCATGTTTATTTTTGCAATTTGAAAGTTTCACGGTGTTGTCAATTAGAGGTTAAATCTGCTCTGACACCTAACAAGCAAGTAGTGATCTAATTAATCCAACCTAGAAAATAACAAGAAATGCAAGGAGAAAAAAAACAACTTCAGGTCGCTGTCATTAAATCGTAGTCATTGCTCCTTCAGCACAAAATCTTCTCTGTTCTGTGTTCCTCTGTGAATGGTTTACACCTTAGAAGAGTGTTTGTGAACATAAACAACTGGCAGGACCTCAAGGGAAAAGGACGTGGCTGTCTACATAAATTGTATTTTTTGTAAATTGGAGTTATTTTTGCAGTGAGAAGAAAAAGTACACATTGAAATGTTCTGTCTTCGAAGATATTAGATGTAATCTCAAACTGAAGAAAAATGCTATTAAGCTGTCAAGTATGCTTCAAACATTTCACTTTTATCTCTTCTGTATTGTTTTCTTGTTTTTTTTAACTATCTTAAAGGTCAGTCATAGTCTTTGACTATGCGTGCATTACTAGACACTACTGATGTTTCAATGACAGTGTTTATAATTTAAAAGAAACACACCCAGCATTTATTAGTCCATGTAGATAGCGTTTGTAATTTATTTTAGTAGTGGATCCAGACCATGATCCACCCATCCATTTTCCAACCACTTTAAGCAGTACATAGTCACAAGGGAGCTGGAGCCCATCCTGGCAAGCAAAACACACAAGGCAGGACACAGCCTGGACAGGACTCCAGTCCATCGCAGGACAGACACAGACACTCACACACTCTCACCAGGGCCAATTTTCCCACAAGCCAATTAACATACAGTACTAGTATATCTTTGGACTGTTTGGATCTAGTTGTAAAATGGGTCCCTCAAAGGAAGTTCACCTGAACACAGGGATAACATACAGTAGACAGCCACACAGGTAGCACCCCAGATCTGGAGCTAAATCTAGGGCCCCAGTGCAGTGAGGCAGCAATGCAAACAACTGAACCACCGTGCTGCTCTCTCAGCAAAATATGAAAGAAAGAAAAGAAATGTCAGCCAAAAAAGCTTCCTTAAGCTATATTTCGTTTCATACCTGTTGAGGCCTTTACCTTTAATGAAAAGTTGTCAGTTCTTTTTTTTTACATACTTTATTGTGACAAAACATTACAAAAAAGGACCATCGAATCAGTTGTACCTAAGAGCTTGGACTTTCTTTCACAGTAACTCTGGATGCTTTTCTCAGAATGTGGTTCCCCTCAGGAAATCAGCTGTTAGATTTAGAGTTGCAGTTGACTTCAAGATTAATGACTGTGATGCAAATAAGCAGACAACAGAAGCAGGGTTCATTCTGTGTAGCAGGCCCGTCTCTGTTTTGCAGGATTACACATACTGTACATTGAAGATTTATTTTTTGCTTTGGTGATTTCCCATTTCCCTCTTGTGACTTTGACATTCTTTGATCTGCAGGAGATCCTGGGGCTTGGGCAAAGTCCAGCGTACAGCAGGAAAAGACGGTCCCTCCTGGCTCCACCCATGTATGTAGCAGAAAATGATAGGGGCCCTTTTCCTAAATTCATTGGCAAGGTAAGTCTCCTCTAAAAGTGATAAAGGAAGTCAAATCATAAACAGTCTCATTTGCCGCTTCAAGTACTGTACATTTTAGCTGGCGTTTAAAGTGCTTGCATATACAGTAGGATGAGCTGTATTAACATGCTTTTTATGTCTTCTGCCAAGGTGCCTTTATTAAGCCTAACAAGGTCAATGTTTGGTCACAAGACCCATGCTCATTAACACTTTATCAAGGGATTCCTATTGTTCACCAGTAGCAAAACTAATGTTTTAGATAGCACAAACAGGTCTTATTGTTCTTCAAGGGCTACTTGTTTCCTGCGAGCCTGTGCAGTTTTTTTTTGCATGTTAAGCTGTTTTTTGTATCTTCCCTGAATTGGATTTTGAAGTCTTTAAAAACACGTGATCAGTGGAACCATCCTTTTCCATCACCACTGCTTGTCCAGAGGGCACTTTTTCTCGCTGTGACTGAGATCTTTCAGGGAGATTCATGCAAAAAATAGAGCAAGCAAAGTCTGAAAATATTTCTTCTTCCTCATAATCCACTCTCCTCTCTGTATGTCATCGAGTCAGGACAGCGGCTTCGACAATGGGATTCCTGCATTTTCATATTTCAAATGAAATTGGGGGATTTTCTGGCCCGACAGGGCGTGGCAGGAGAGAACCTGACGGGGGATCAGTGACGCTGGATGTGTGTCTGCGCCAGACTTCATTTCAACTCGGCTGGGATTCATGATCTGAGGCTCCTGGCTGGAAGACGAGATTGACACTTGTCTGGACATCAAATTCAACTCTAGTCATCTGCTAAACGGATCTTATCAGTCGAAAATGTCAGAACAGAGCAAAGCTCACTACGTCTTATCAAGAGTGACTTTTTTTGGATTATTTTGCCTGACAGCCTTCCCCCCTTTTTTTTTTCCAGCTGCTGCATGTTATACACCATCATATCCCTACTGCTGTAATTTCACTTACCGTACAGTTTGAAAACCATACAGTGTCACTACTGTTGCCACCCTTCTCCTGACAAGATCCTGAGGCTTGTTACTGAGAACTGGTAGGGCCAGGTGTGTATATTCTTGTGTACAGTATATAGTGGAGAGGGGAGGAAGAGAGCATTCTTTGAAAAACAGAATGGGGGCTGAAATCAGCTTTGCATGATAATTGAATTTGCATATGTATAGTAATTGATAGTTACTCAGCGAGTGAAACATACTTCCTCACAGTGGATGTTTTTTTTTTTTAAGCCCTAAGGTGTTCTTGACTTATTTCAGTGGCGATACTATATTCCTCCTCATCTAAAGTTACACGGCAAACTGACATTGAGAATTAATGAGTTTAGACGTCCTAGGGCACAGATAGTTATAATGGGAGTACGTGGCTGATTACAGTTGTTATTGAACATGATTGCGCAATTAATCCCTTTTTCCTTTCTTAGAAATAAGTCTTACCTTATGTCTAGTCTTTATGCGGCATAGTCACCAGCTTTCTCTTTAGTAGATTACTCTTTAGTCTAATGTATTTTTCTTTTTTGTGTTTTTAAATTACTGCTTTGACCTGCCTTACGTTAGTACTTCAAATCAATTTTCACATGTGATTTTTAAATCATTGATGTACTTCATCTGCTTGTACCACATTTTATGTCCCTCTTCAAACTGTTTTTGTGCTGCCATTACACAATTGGCATCATTTTCATCCCTTAGACCGTAATCAAGAAAATGCAGTGCCCTAACCAGCACAGTACTTTTTGTTTGCTGTAATAGCCTCTCATATTACAGTACAATACACATTTCTGTTTTTTCCATGCCCTTGATAAAAGCAAATTGTCTTTACTCTTAAGGTGCAAATACCAAGGAAAAACTGCATCAGAGCCATGACTATGAGGAAATAAAGTTCTTCAGTATTTTTTCAGTAGTGTAAATACTGAGCGGTCGTTGGCATCTATTGGCACACAGGTCCAAATTCCGGTTCAGATTCCATCTTTGGGGAGTTTGCAGGTTTTGTTCTGTGTGTTTTCAGCAGGTGCTCTGTTGTGCTCATACAGTACTCTACTTCCCAAATGTATGCAGGTTAGGCCCGATTGGCAAGTCAAAGTTTCCTCCTGGGCACAAACACACACAGACACGCCCACACTCACCCCAGGGCCGATTTGTCCACAAGCCAAAAACCCAGTATGTTCTTGGACTATGGGAGGACTGTACCAGGGCACTTGGCGAAAACCCACACTGACACAGTAAAGAGACAGAATCGCAGAGAGCCCCCGGTGCAGTGAGGCAGCAGTGCTGTCCACTCTATGGCCTTTCTTTTACTTTTTAAACCAGGTGTGAAGGATTGAAGTGTTGCTACTGCTTTCTCTAGAACAGTGCCTTGTGCTCTACCTGCTCCTTGGTGAATGTAGGACTTTGCTTCCTGGAGCACTGGAGGCAGCTCACACACAAATACATCCTTATTTTACCATGGCAACAGCTCCATTACAGGGTTGTAAGGTTATAATAAAGAAAGGCTATAGGCTCTTAAAAAATCAATGGTAATACAGAGCTATTCTCTTAGGAAAACACTCAACCTTCTTTGCTGTAAACCCATTGAGGCCAACATCAGTAATTAGCCCCTAACGGTTTGTTCTTTCCATTCAGTTAAATGAAGTATTTATTTTATTTTAAGACACGCTTTTGTGTCCTCAATGAAATTATATATTCATGAAGTCTTTCAGAGGGTGCTTTTAAATAACTGGTTTAGAGCTGGAAATGGGAGACCTAGTCATAGCAGGGGTCTGTTAAGAAGTGTTAATTAGTTTCGTCTCACAGGATAGGAGACATTGACCAAGAGCTATATTTTAAATAAGCCAAATAGCAGTAATGATACACTGAAGGCTGCTTGAAGTTTAACTATGCTGTCTGTGTTTGCCTGAGGCTTGTAGGATTCAGTTGCTATTGTCTCTGACAGGTTCACTCCCTCTCTACATCAGTGAGCCTTCCCTGAAAGAATCAGATAATACAAGATATTCAACTTCTGCTACATTGGGGAGCACACCAAATGGATTTTCCACATGAATAAGCCACAATTTCTCATGCAGGTCATTGGCAGAATATAATATTATTTTAAGATCCTATCTAAAATGCCCAGATATAAGGGGAGCAATTGTTTACAAGTGACCTCTGAAGAAAAGAAAACTATTTTCATTCAATCTGTATTCCTTTCTGACTCTCCTCATACAGTATTACGCTGTGACTGTTTGTAGGAATATCTTACGTTGCACCGGTGGAAGGTTGTCCACAGTTTTACATTTGACTTATTTTTAATTGCATTACTGTTTACTCTATATTGAATATGTTATCTTTTAGGATTATGTTTAAACCACAAACTTCAAATTATTATTCTATGAGCATATCTATAAACGTGGGTTACGACATTGCACCAGTTAGACATCATGTGCTTAATCTATGCTTAGGAACATATTTAATTAAAAGTAGCCTTGATTTTTAAAAATTGATCTTTTAATAATGTTTTCAATAAATTATTGTATCCCATTAAAAAAGAGGATTAATTGTTTTCTATAACTTTTTTGTTACTGGACTCAAAGCTGTGATTTGGTTAGTCATTAACTTCATTAACATTAACATTCATCCATCCTAACAAGTGCTAAAGTAGTTAAAATTCTTAGATATTTCATAGTATGCCGGATATTTTAGTCCAAAAAAGTTCTAATTAAAATTCTAATGGTATTGTACAATACTATGCGTTAAATACAGCTGTTAGCAGTCAAGAAGGATCACTTTGTTCCAGAGATGACCTAAATCTCCATCCACTGAGTGCTCATTAAATTTTTTTTAAAGTGGGTTCTCAATCATGTATACATAAATTTTAATTTAACATTTAGTTCTACGTGTACCCCACTTTAAAGTAGTTTTTTTCAATGGCTATCTATTCACTCCAAAGCTCTATTAATAAAGCAGATCATCTCAGATGTCATGACAACTGGTGGTTGTCAGTTGAAATGAAACTGTGAAAATAATAAGAAATGAGAGGAGAGTACTTGTGTTGATGAATGACCCGACAAAAAGAGTCTACAGCGCTGTCTGTGTTTTAGAAGAGTAAAGCCCTAGATTAATATGGTAGTGGTGATGAGCACAGTACGAGTTAAAAGCTGGTGGGATTTCAAACTACAGTGCTTCTCTTTTTGTGTTGAATTCAACACATGCTTGCATCAAGAGCCAAGTACTCACTCACTCATTATAAATACGCCACGCTCACTAGTGTTTTCCTATTAATGAGAGAAATTCTGCAAGTCATATCTCAGTATCCAGAACACGATTTTTTTTTTTGTGAAGGCATAATGTGGTCTTGCCCTAAGTTTAAGTAGCCATCCAAAAAAAGAAGTAAAAAATAAATATCAGGATTCATTTAAAATAATCCCCTAAAATATAACCCTCGAATTAGCATCCTAGACCCTTGATACAATACTTAATACAAGGGTACCATTCAATCAGTGCATGTAGATGCTTAAACAGCAGTGACACACAAAGGCACTTTAAGGAGCCAGTAGCAGTTACCTGCTTTTTCCAAATGGCTCAGTAGAAAGTGTTTGAGAGATGCTGCAAACATCATTGCTCTCATGGAGTGCAGCGCTAGTATCTTGGCCATGCTGTAGAATAGAAATGTAGGAGCAACGTGTGATGAACTGCCCTCGGAAAACCAAGCTTCTGAAGAGGAGTTCAATTATTTGAATGTTAAAAATGGTTATTTCTGGGTACGCGTTGGCTGCTTCCATACGTCTGTGCTCCACTGCTGCTTTACTCTACCACTTTACTCCCAAGCCACAGGAAACCTAGGTCTTGGCCATCTGTCTGTTAATACTCATATTCCACATTGCTGTTTGCACTGTTAAGCACGTGACTATAGCCTGGACATATCTGGCTGAAGGGCAACAGCCTTGCCATGAGAATTTAGAAGAAGCTTACAGTCTGCTGCAGGGGTGACGTGGATGGTGGAGAATTGTACAGTGCCAAATGCTAGGAATG